TCAATGCCTGGGAGTTGCCCCAAGGCTGCCCATCACTGGAGATCCTTGAGGTCATTCTTTTTTTTTTTTTTTTTTTTTTCCCCTATCGTATGATTGGTTTGCTTTTGCATTCTTCGAATCCTTTTTTTTTTTAGGGGTAACTTCAGTAGAGTCACGAAAACGAGTTACTATAATTGCACTATGGGGCAAGATACACTGTCAGTTTGCAATTGCAGTTCGGGCACCCTACACCTGGCCAGAAATCTGGGTTGTATACATTGCCCGAACTGCAATTCGAAACTGTATCTTGGCCTATAGTGCAATTATAACTCATTTTTGTGACTCCCGCGTAGCTCCCCTTTGCTTGATTGAATCCGTGCATCTTCATGATTTAGAGTCCCAAATGAAGAGTAATCAGTGCTATTTGGCTATTATTATTATTTTTAAAGGGGGGGGAGGGGGGGGGCGGAGGTGACCTCAACCAGGGACTGGGTGTGAAAGAGGGACCTTTTTCTCTTTTCTTCTTTTGGGTTGGCGGGGGAGGGAGGGTTGCCTAGGAACCGGGGAAGAGCGGGTAGAGCGAGGCAGGGCGCTGTTAGAGTGCCACTCTACCCCTTTTCTCCCCTGCTTGGGCGGTTGCGGATGATGAGGCCTAAGCCCCAGGTTCAGAAAATGACAGATAAAAATTAGAAATAAACACCCCTCTACACCCCTCAGTATCACTCCCCTACAGCCCTCAACACCCCTCCCCTACACCCTCAACACTCCTCAATGCCCTTCTCTCTCTCTCTCTGGCTCTCTCTTGTTCTCCCTCTCTCTCTCTCTCTCTCTCTCTCTCTCTCTCTCTCTCTCTCTCTCTCTCTCTCTCTCTCTCTCACACACACACACACACACACACAGAGTGCCTGCCCTCCAGCCGTGAGTACTTCTAAATGGAAGTGCTCCCGTTGGGAGCACACAACTTATTGGGCAGGCTGGGGCCGCTGGGCGGTTCTCTTTAGCCGTCGGTCCCCTGAAAGGTGCCGATGGCTGGCCCGCCAGTTCGTATCCCTGCGGGGTTTTTCATTTTTTTATTAAAAAAAAAAAAATGGCAGCGCAGGCGGGTCCTCAACTGCCGGGGCCGGCCCCCCATGCCACCGAAACGGGGTTGCCCGCTCCCCGCTGGCCGCAGTGCGCTTCGGCGGGGGGGCTTTTCCCTGTCCAACTGGGGGTAGGACGGGGGTAGGAAGCTGCTCTGGGTTAGAGCAGGGTTAGGATCCTGCTCTAGGTTGGAGCGGGGACCCCTGTTCTACCCCTGCCCAGACACTCAGGGGGTTGCAGTTGGGGATTGTGAAGTTTTGGGACTCTGGATCCGGTTTCCAGTAAGTGCACTGCTGTGCACCCCCCTACCCAATAAATTTGGGGCATATAAAAAAAATAAAAAAAAATACAACGAATTCACGGGAAGGTATCCAAGATGCATATTCAATTAAAGCTTTGTGGTCCATGCCCTGCTGCTGCATGCTCCAACCCAAAAAGGAAATGTACGTCTCACCGAAGTTACCCCTACCCCTCCTAAACAAACAAACAAACAAACAAAAAAAAAAAAAAAAACCCTACCCCTCCTTTCATGCCTTGCATCTGTAGTCTGTGCCCTGCTGATGCATGCTCTGCTGCCTTGCCTTTCACACATCTGGGGGGGATCATGAGTTTTATTTTATTTTTTTAACACGCTCCTATCTATTCGTGGGAAGCATCACGTGCTGGGAACCGGGCCCAGGGGAGGATCATGACAACTCGGCTTCTGTGGCAAGTCGATGGATTCCGAAAAGGAATGGGCTTGTTGCTTCCTAGAATGGAAACAAGCCTTGGATATGAAGTCAAGTCCCGCCTCCTCCCACTACGCGTCCTCCCCACCCAAAAAGGAAAATAATAATAATAAAACGTTGGAATTTGAACAACATGTACAGTGAATAGTTCGGTAACTTCGGTACGACGTCATTTCATTTGCAAAGTTGAAACGGTATTCACCAGTTCGAAGTAGCTGATGTAGGGCCCAGGGTTCGATCCCTAGTTCCCCAACTTACCTGTGTACAATAGCTGTGACAACTTGAAGAATTGAACCTGCGACCTGTAGAACCGCCAGTGGTAAGTAGGTCTGTCGTAGCTCTTTAGGTAGCCAGGATTTGATCCATAGACCTGTAGAGTAGAAGTCCASCTGCAGTCCTTSTAGAAGGTTGGCAAGTGGTCAAGTGGTGYGACTAAAGCAAGCCCATGTTGGAGACGAGGACAAGTGGCAAGGGCAAATAGTAGGACCCCAGTGCAACTGCACTGCGTCGTAGGGTTGTCACTATGCAGTCGTGGGAAAGTCTAGAAAATACCAGTCCGGTCCAGCAAGTACCACGAGGGGGGACTGTGTGCATCATGGGCCAGGGATAAGTCTTGTGCAAGGGAGGTCTGCAGATGGCCTGAAGACGAAGTGGGCAGAAGTTAGTGATAGGCTAGTTAGCTGTTAGTGGCGATGCGCCATAGCCATAGACAGTTAGTGAGTGTGTATGTGTGTGTGCAGTGGTTGGCGTGCATGGTATCCAGGGTGATCCGGAGTCGAGTTGCGTGTGAACTCTGAGTCGAACGTGTAAGTGTGGGCGCCCAGCGCCATAGTCAACTGAAGTAAACTTGGATTTGAGTTGAGTTGCAAGCTACCATATCTCCGAGTTTGAGTTGGGT